CTGTCTCTTTGTTACTGTATGTCTCTCTTTCGTTCTTAACTTTCATCTAAAACAATTGTGTTCCATATTACCAGAGTTGTACATTGGTATTTTCCACACACACACACACACGTACGTCACCAACAGGGGTTCAGGGAAGGCGAGTCGTGTCTCACAGATTTAATAGAATTCTATGACCGAGCAACAAGCATTAATCAGAGAAGAATGGGCAGACTGCTTTTTCTTGGTCTGTCAGAAAGCTATTGACACAGTACCCCATAGGAGGCTGTTGCATAAGTTGAAGGAAACAAGCTGGAGTGAGTGATAGGGTGCTGCAATGGGTAAGGGAATACCTAAACAACAGGAAGCAGAGAGTCACTGTGAGGAGTGAGACCTCAGACTGGCGTAATATCACCAGCGGAGTCCCGCAAGGTTCTGTACTCGAACGTGTCCTGTTTCTGATATACGTGAATGATCTTCCAAAAGGTATAGACTCATTTCTCTCAATGTTTGCTGATGATGCTAAAATTATGAGGTAGATTAAGACAGAGGAGGATAGCAAGAGGCTACATGATGACCTGGACAGACTGAAAGAATGACCCAACAAATGGCTACTAGATTTTAACTCGAGAAAGTACAAAGTGATGAAGATAGGCGTCGGGAGCAGAAGGCCAAACGCAAAATATCAGCTGGGAGATGAAATCTTTCAGGAGTCAGGACGAGAGAAAGATCTGGGGGTTGATATCACACCAGATCTGTCCCATGAAGCCCATATCGAAAGTATAACATCAGCGGCGTATGCAAGGCTAGCGAACATAAGAACTGCCTTCAGAAACTTGTGTAAGGAATCATTCAGAATCTTGTATACCACATATGTCAGACCAATACTGGAATATGCCGCTCCAGCGTGGAGTCCATATCTAGTCAAACACAAAATGAAGTTAAAAAAGGTTCAGAGGTATGCCACCAGGCTGGTCCCCCGAGCTGAGAGAAATGAGCTATGAGGAAAGATTACTGGAACTTAATCTAACGACACTGGAAGACAGAAGAGTTAGCGAAAACATGATCACTATCTACAAAATTCCTAGATGAATTGACAGGGTAGATAGAGATAAATTGTTTAACATGGGTGGTACGTGACACAAAAGATTAATGACGTATGTATTTGTGTGGGTGATTAAATATGTATGTGTATGTATATATGTATACGTATATATATGTACATGTATGTATGAGTATGTGTACATGTATATATAACATTAATAATTTCGTAACTAGCGTCAAAAGATTGTTATTTGCTTAGCTAAACGAACTAGAGGGTTCAGTTCCTGAACCGATTATGTGCCTCTGTAATCCTTTACACCACCGACCACGGGAAGGGGTGCATAATAAAGAAAGAAATTGAATTGTGAACAAAGGGACACAGGTGGCGACTGAGTAACCAATTAAGACACGGAAACGTTAGAAAGAATGTTTCAGTGTCAGAGTAGTTAACTTGACACTACTTGACAATATTGCCGACAGAACATGTTAAGTACACGGTGAGTAAACACACTAAGATGATGATGTAAACCCACTAAGGTGATGTAAACAAAGATGATGATGATGTAAACACGCTAAGATGATGATGTAAACACAATAATGATGATGATGTAAGCACACTAAGGTGATGATGTGAAAATGGGAAATTCGACGAGAAAATCTGTTGGAGCTGTGATGAGGTTTCGAACCTATGCACAGGGTGTTCCCAGGCACAGTGCCGTGGCCTATAGTTGTCTAGAGCGTGTTGTCTGGGAACACCCACCACATAGGTTCGAACCCTCATCACGGCAGGGGGGCCTGACGGGTGAGTGAACAACGCTCGGGATTCGTAGTCCTAAGGTTCCAGGTTTGATCCCAGGCGGAAACAAATGGCCAGAGTTTCTTTCATCTGATGCACCTGCTCACTTAGCGGTAAATAGGTACCTGGGAGTTAGACAGCTGCTACGGGCTGCTTCCTGGGGGTATGTAACAAAAAGGAGGCCTGGTCGAGGACCGGGCCGCGGGCACGCCAAGCCCCGAAATCATCTCAAGATAACCATCTCAAGAAGATGACAGCTCCTTCGGATTTTCTCACATGAAGTAATATTCACCTAACATATTCTTCACAGATTAAACACTCGAAAATCAACTTAGGTCAAAACCTATTCATAATAATGATCCAAGTCATATTACAATAAATGTTCTTGTCTTGCTTCGGATAATAATCATTGGATCAATAATATTATAAATAACATTATTTTGATCAATAGAAGTATATAGTAACAGTTTTGTTATCTTTGCATGCATTGGTTACCAAAATGTAATTACTTGTGGACACGATTCTTAATAGCGATCATGTAAATAATCATTAAATTTACTTAATAGATATTAAAGATATTCTTTGAGAATATTGATCCACTTACACAAAAACGTGTCTCCGAAATGACACAATTCGAGTTGTTTCACTAAATCTAGAATATCTAAATGTTCAAAACAAAATAAATGAATTAGTAAAAAAAATAAGAAAAAGTTTCTAACTTGTACATAAACCTTAAGACTTTAATTATATTAATAAATAAAACACACATTGAAAGAATTTGACCAAAATATATAATTAAATAAAAACCTAATTAAAAATAATTGACTTAAAATGGAATCCAAGTATAACTAACAGCAAACTAATCAATTATGATAATGTATAACCCAGAGCAAATAGCTCATTATAATTTTGGTTGAATATAATTCACATTTAATGCTCTCTTAAAGGCCCATAAATTCTCTTATTTCATTATTTTAAAAATATCCAAAGATATAATATTTTAACTCATAAGATATACTTGTTTAAAGTGGAATCCAAAGTGTTCTATAATAACACTTTCGATATTTTTTTAAGCTCTGGAATAAGGGATTCAACCGGTTTATAATTCCCATTTTCATTCTACTTTTTATTGAACAAATCCACAAGGGCCGTGACGAGGATTCGAACCTACGTCTAAGAGCATCCCAGACGCTGCCTTAATCGACTGAGCTACGACATAGTCATAAGAGTTGAAACCAGAAGTTCTACTGAAACTTGTGGTTTCAACTCTTTTGACCATGTCGCAGCTCAGTCGATTAAGGCAGCGTCTGGGATGCTCTCAGACGCAGGTTCGAATCCTCGACACGGCTCTTGTGGATTTGTTCATTGATGCATCACGCTATTGGGATTTCTGTGTGTACTTTTTATTGTTTTTTAAATTTCTTTCAACTGCATTTGCTATTTTTTTTTAAGCTTACCTTAGAAGTCTTCAAATTTATTTTATAATGAGCTTAAGGAAACGTAAAATACTTGCTAAGTATGTGTTTAAGTTTTATTTGATTTGTTTTTAAAATTCTGTCAAAAAGTATTCACTAAATGTTATTTAATGTATTGCCAAAAACACTTTTGTACGTCTATATCTTTTCTTAAAGGTTTCCTTATTTTATATTAGGACCACAAAAGTGCTCAATAAATATTTATTAAAAAAGTCCTATAAAGTTAACTAAAAATATTAACTAGAAACACTTAAAAAGTTTATCTAATAGTCTTAAAAGCTTTTTCCTAAAAATCTTAACAAGTTTTCTAAAAGTCTCAAAATAATTGATCTCAAAAAGTCATAATCAAATTCTGAAAAATTCAAATCAAACCATGCCTTATGCTTTTTATCAATACGTTTAATGAATGGCATCCAAATTACATCAAAAAGTTATTGAAAAGTGATATATCTTTCAAAGTTCTACCCAAAATTTGCACGAATTGTTCTCTGCAGAACGTCGCAAAGTGTTTCCAGCGTAAAAATATAACACGAACGCCGCTCCTGAGCATTACAGTGATGTTTTATCTAAGAACTCCACGAATACGTCGTTTACAAACTGTTTTCTAAGTTTCGTATTTTTACAAAGAGAACTCTAAAGTACCGTGTAATTGCTGATATAAAGCATGCTCCATAAGTACTTCTATGAGATGCACTCTAAAATCTCATCTTAACCCCACTGGAAGGTGTGTTTTAGAGTGTGTGTTGTCTGGAGTGTGAGGGGCTGGGAGTGTCGTCAGAGTGCTCGGGAGGTCCCGTTGTTAGACCCCCATAGGTTGACCTGACGTTCAGGGGTGAACTCGTGTCGCCCTTCGACCGGATCTCAAGAGGTGGGGGTGGGAAGGCTCTGGCTAGGGAGAAGGGGGAGCCAAGGTGTTCAGAGTGGGGTGTGGTAATAGAGGTGTGTGGGGAGAGGAGTGTGGGGTTTGGGGAGAGGAGGGGAGTGGAGAGAGGGGGGTGTGGGGAGAAGGGGAGTGGGGAGAGGGGGTGAGGGGAGAGGGGGTGTGGGGAGAGAGGGTGAGGGGCTTCATGTAGATGAAATAATGATAATTTATAAATCTATGAGAATAAAGGACAAATTATTGTTTAGGCACAATATTGCTATTATTTTCCTTATTGTTTAGGCCTATAGGGGGATTGTGAAGAAAAGGCAAGAAGTTGTAGTTGGAAAGGAAAGTACTGAGGAGACCTTAGAAAAGAAAAAGAGTAAATAAGGCAGGTGAAGTGGTTTAAATAAGAGAGGAAGCAAAAGCGGGAGGGAGGAAGACAGCCAGAGAGGAAGGGAGGGGCGGTAAGGTGAATGAAAGGAAGGCTAGACGTTGATGGAGGGGTTAGGGAGGGAGGGGTTAGGGAGGGAGGGAGGGAGGGAGGGGGAACATAATCGTCCCCTTCACCCGCGTCCGCCCACCCGCAACCCGCTCTCCACCCCATCATTCCAAACTCGTTATAGAGTCTCAACCCGCAGGCACTATATGTTTTTTGAACCCCTTGCCATCCCCCCCCCTCCTCCTCCTCCTCATCCCATTCATTATCGTGTGTGCAAACTCCCCCATCATTCCGCCAGCTCTCTCTCTCTCTCACTCTTTCTCTTTCCTTGCTCTCGACCTTGCACCCCGGGGCAAGTCGAGGCGGCGTCTGGTATATAAAGTCGACCCTCCACCACCCACACATCGTTCCAGCGTCTCCCGACAACACGCTAGACATGAAGCTCGTGAGTACACAAATGAGGAGTGAGGAGAGGGGCAAAGAAATGGTAGTGAAGAGGAAGACTGAAGCAAGAGGGAAGAGAAAACGAGTCACAGTAACGTGGCTGAAGATATAATGACCAAACCACACACCTGAAGATGGGAGAAACGACGACGTTTCGGTCCGTCCTGGATCATTATCGAGTCGAAAAGTCGTAGTTTCTTATTCTTCTGGTGTGTGCTGGTTTGGTCATCAAGAGAAAACGAATTTGTTATTGTCAGTGTCGTTAACATTGGTGCATTAGCTGAGTAGTCTTCGTCATTATTTTGGACGACCACTTCTTTTCTTGCCGTTTGTTTATTTATGTTGCTATGTTGCTTGGTGCTTGCGTGTTGGTCTGTCGCTGCCTGCACTGTCAGGACGCTTGTCTTCACACCTCCAGCCTCAGTCTACACGACTGTTGGTAACCAGTTGCTGCTCTCTGTCTTTCCACCAGTCTCTACCGTCACTACTAGCATCTCTTGCTACCACCAGTCTCTACGGCCACTACTAGCATCTCTTGCTACCACCAGTCTCTACCGCCACTACTAGCATCTCTTGCTACCACCAGTCTCTACCGCCACTACTAGCATCTCTTGCTACCACCAGTCTCTACAACAACCACTAATATCACCTTCCGTCACTAGCCTATACAACTATTACTGTTACTACCTGTCTCTACATTCCCTGTCATCAGCCGCTACAACAACAACACCTACTACAGTCAGTTTCAACAATGTTTGATGACTAAATCACACATCAAAAGATGAAGAGACGACGACGTTTCGGTCCGTCCAGGACCATTATCAAGTCGTGTGTGTCGCCATTATCAACCCCCGACTTGATAATGGTCCAGAACGGACCGAAACGTCGTCGTCTCCCCATCTTTTGATGTGTGTGTATCTTCAGCCACGTTATTGTGACTCATCGTCTCAACAATGTTTGTTGGCACTACTCTACATCCGGTTGTCTCACCATCTTCAGCCTTCACTATCAGTAATTAGCCTTTTTGTCTGTCTTACTAGACTCTAACGCCCACTCTCAGCTTATCATGTATGTCACTTACTGTCTGTTCAATCTCTTTTTCTTGCTACCTTTCGAATCCATTCTTTTGCTACCTCTCCAGTTCATTTCTCTTGCTACCTCTCCAGTTCATTTCTCTTGCTACCTCTCCAGTTCATTTCTCTTGCTACCTCTCCAATCCATTTCTTGTGCAACCTCTCTAACCCATTTATCTTGAAACCTCTAAAATAAATTGATATTGCAACCTCTAAAATACATTACTCTTGCAATCTCTCGAATCCGATTACCATACTTCATCTTAAATCTATTTCTCTTGCTACGGCTCCAATCCGTTTCGCTTGCTTCCTCTTTAATCCATTTCACTTGCTACATTTTTTATCCATTTCTCTCGCTACCACTCCAATCCACGTCCCTTGTTACCTCGACAATCCATTTCTCTTCCGATCTCTTAAGTCTATTTCTCTTACTACATTCCAATCCATATCTCGGGCTACACCCCAATCCATTTCTCCTGCTACACTCCAATTCATTTCTCTGGCTACACCCCAATCCATTTCTCTTGCTACCTCTCTACAAAACGTGTTGCTTCATGCACTACCAGTAACTGTTGCTTGCATCATCAGAAATAACAGTAGGGGGGACTGTCCTCTGGCACCATTCCCCCCCCCTTGTCTTGCTGTTACGGTGGGGTACCGGAGTCAGTTCACAAGAGAAAAGTCCGAGGATCGGGTCCCGTGCTGGACGGAAACATGTGGACTTGATTCCTTTCATCTTGTACACCTGTTCACCCTGCATTAAATAGGTATATACTCGTGAGTTATAGGTATCTGTTGTGGGTTGCATCCTGGGGATAGGTCAGTCGTTGGCCTAGGTAGCACACTCGTCCCAAAGTTCGTGAGAAATTTGGCGTAGGTTCGAATCTTGTCCAGGGAGGATTGACTGGGCGCCAATCCTTAACTGTTTGCTCCTGTTCACCCAGTAGTAATTGGGGTATCTGGTTGTGAAACCAATGGCATGGTCGTGTTCCAGGGGAAACTATAGTGGGGGAGGCTGACCATGAGCTATGGGAAGGGAAAGCTCTCAGTCTTGAAACAGGAAGCTGACGGCGTCTGTTCATGTACTCACATGAGTAAAAAACAAAAAACAAAAAACACCAATATCATTATTTCTATGTGTGGATTACACAGCAAGTTTGGCTTTACCTGTTGTTGCTATTGCACAAGTTTCCTCCCTCATAATGAATGAGTGAATGAGACCTTGAGTACCAGCGCCCATGGGGTAGTACCAGCGCCCCTGGCTTAGTACCAGCGCCCCTGGGTTAGTACCAGCGCCCCTGGGTTAGTACCAGCGCCCCTGGGCTAGTACGGGCGTCGTTCTTGCGGTGGACAAAAGAAGTAGAGCTGCTGGAGTGTGTCGCGACCTGGCCTCCATTACACGCCTCGTCCGCCTTCCTAGTATACAAATGCAACATAAAATTCCTGTATTTCATTAACAGCCAATGTTTGGACCGTGACACTCCCGCATACACACAGGTCGTCCTCGCCTGCCTGGTCGCCGCCGTCGTCGCCGCCCCAAAGCCCCAGGACGACCGCCCCGTCGTGCAGGTCCTTCGCGACGAACGGGTGAACGAAGGGGACGCCAACTTCAACTACGCTCTGGAGACAGACAACGGCATCAACGTTCAGGCCTCCGGCGTGGCCGGGTCTGAGGGGCAGAGCAACATCCAGGGCAGCTACTGGTAAGGCGGCGCCAGGAGGCGCTCATTGTCTCGTTGTTGGTTGTTGGTGGCGGGTGTGAGTGGTGCTGCTGAAGTCTGATCATTGGGTGGGAGGATTGGGGTGATTGGGGGCCTTTGTTCCAGGTGTGGGTATACACAAGGATCCAAATTCTTACCAATAGGCACTCAGGCGCCCAGCATACGCAAATGCATTTACACACACACAACGGTATATATGTCGGGGAGTCTGTGGCCGAGCGGACAGCACGCTGGACACGTGATCCTGTGGCTCCGGGTTCGATCCCGGGTGCCGGCGAGAAACGATGGGCAGAATTTCTTTCACCCTGATGGCCCTGTTATCTAACAGTAAATAGGTACCTGGGAGTTAGACATCTGTTACGGAGCTACTTCCTGTGTGTGTGTGTGTGTGTGTGTGAAAATAAAAATTAGTAGTTAGTAACAGTTGATTGACAGTTGAGAGGCGGGCCGAAGGAATAGAGCTCAACCCTCACAAGCACAACTAGGTGAATACAACTAGGTGAACACACACACACACACACACCTACCAACACACGCATACAATAACACACACGGGGCCTCGCGGCTAAGTAAACAGCGCTCTGGGGTCGTAGTCCTAAGGGCCCGGGTTCGATCCCCAGCAGAGGCAGAAACAAATGGACAGAGTTTCTTTCACCTGATGCGCCTACTCACTTAGCATCCCCAGAATGCTTCCTGGCGATGTGTGTGTGTGTGTGTGCGTGTGATAAAGAGAAATATATGTAGTAATTATAATAATAGTATAATAAAAACAGACATAATAGAGGAAAAATATAAACGGTTAGAAAGCCGAAGTCCAAGAGCTAATAGCTCGGTATCCTGCAGGCACAAATGGCAAATACTAATGATAAATACACACATATTTCATGGAGCGAGAGACTACTTTAAATCCCAGGCCCTCACTACCTTGTCCAACACTGAGGTACAGCAGGAGAGTCACACTCTCACTACACGAGGTTCTGGCCAGCACTAACAGCACATTATACAGTAATATCACCCACATCCAGCCCACGCTTCCTGAATCGAATTCATGGTAATCCGGATTACCGTGTATTCTGGGGTACACAACGAACTCACACTCTTCCCAGCCTATTACTCGTTGGTCGTGCTCACACGCACACAACACTGGCACCAACACAAGCATCACCAACACCACCAACACCACCAAAACCATCATCAACACCACCAACACAAATATACAGTCATTGTGCCCACACTCACTACATCAGGTATATACGCAGTATACTCGACTACACTCTGTACCCCCTTCCCCGTTCGGCGCCGTAATAACCACGCCCGTCTCCTCCTCCCCCGGTCCTAGGTTACCTCTGGATGACGGCAGCTACCAAGAGGTTCGCTACGTGGCCGACGAGTTCGGCTTCCGCCCAGACTCCTCCCTGCTGCCCACGCCGCCCCCAGAACCACCCCATGTTGCCGAGCTCCGCCGCATCGCCGAGGAGCAGCGCGCCCAGGGCATCACCTTCGAGTGAGACGACTGGCGACGGGCTCACCCAACCTCAGAAGACGGGCTCTTCTACCGTGTACAGAGCCACTAATTCGCTTTATAATAATACTGTGTGAAAGAACGTATTTCAATCTAAATAAAATTGATTTTGAGAAATTGAAACGTAGTTTTAATATGTAATTACTTTATGCAGTGTAATTACACGAGAGTCCTTGAGAACAAGGGCAAGAGAAGATGCACTGGTTCACGACACAGTCATTACTACAATGTAATGACTGTGATCGGCACTCTAATCATCTTTCTACACAATATCATCCTCACTGTAAGCTTCTTACCTACTCACGACCATCAGTACTGTAACCGTTCTTGCTACACACAGTCAGCAACACTGTATAACCATCTACAGTGCACTCGCCGCCGTCCTCATTACTGTAACCATCGACATCAATTACTGTCTTCACCTCTGTAACTATTATCGCTACCCGGTCACCGCTGGAGTTTCCCTCTACAACCTTCCCTACCCTTCACCACATTCCTTACCCTTTACCACATTCCTTACCTTTCACCACATTCCCTACCCTTCACCATCTTCACTTTCCTTCACCACCTTCCCTACCTTTCACCACCTTCCCTTTCCTTCATCACCTTCCCTACCCTTCATCACCTTCCCTACCCTTCAACACCTTTCCTACCCTTCACCACTTTCCCTACCATTTACCGCCTTTACTACCCTTTACCACCTTCCTTACCCTTCTCCATCTTCCCTTTCCTTCACCACCTTCCCTACTCCTCACCACCTTCCCTACCCTATAACGCCTTCCCTACCTTTCACTACCTTCCATACTCCTCACCACCTTCTCTACCCTTCACCACCTTCCCTACCCCTTCACCACCTTCCCTACCCCTTCACCGCCCTCTTTATCCTTCACCAACTTCCCTACCCTTCATCACCTTCCCTGCCTTTCACCACTTTTTTTTACCCTTCACCACCATCCCTACCCGTCATCACTTTTCCTACCCTTCACCACATTCCCTATCCTTCACCACATTCCCTATCCTTCCCTATCCTCCCTCTCTGGGAGACAGAACTAACAACGATAATGGATGCAAATTTATCAAATATGTTTATGACAATAGATTAACTGTGTATACTACGGATACTCAAACTGATTTATTGGAAGGCAGACTTGATTATGTCCTTGGTAATGAGTAGAAACCCGTTACATAATCAATATAATATAGACAAACAGATTCCATATTATGTTCAGCAACATAATATGGAATGTTCGTTGGTAAATCACTTGGTTAGTGATCACTATGCATCCCTACTTTCTGCTTCCTATGAGGTGTTGTGTGATGTACCTCATAGACATCAGAGACCGAAAATTAATATTCCATATAGTTTGCACAACCACTTTATTAATTGTATTTGAAAATGGTATCAAGATTACACAATAACAAATGTACAGTCCTTCTCCAGAGATCTCATTGATACAATTACTACCTGCTACGACACATGGGTGTGTTGGGGAACAAGCCGTAAGCCTAGCAGAAGTGGACAACACCTACCACCACCCAAGTGGGTCCTTGACCCCGTATTTGTTAAAGAACATGAACGGGTAAAGCAGCTTCGAGATACATACAAACGAACCAAAGCACAAGGTGACTTGCATGCATTTCTTGTCACAAATAAAGAGGTGAGAGACATGAGCAACGTTATACGAAATAAACATTGAGAACAGTTCCTACAAAGTATAAATGAGCAAATATATAAATAGGAGCGTGGATATTAATAGGAGCTGCCTCGTATGGGCCAATAGGCCTTTTGCAGTTACCTTCACTCTTATGTTCTTCTGTTCAAACAACACTTGTTGAAGTTCGGGAAAAGATACGAAAAATCTCTAGAAGCAACCCAACCACACCACTGCACCACAATCCACTAGAACAAGCAAGCCACTGCACCACAGCCCATTAGAACAAGCAAACTACTGCACCACAGCCCATTAGAACAAGCAAACTACTGCACCACAGCCCATTAGAACAAGCAAACCACTGCACCACAGCCCACTAGAACAACCAAACCACTGCACCACAGTCCACTAAAACAACCAAACCACAGCACCACAGCCCACTAGAACAACCAAACTACTGCACCACAGCCCATTAGAACAAGCAAACCACTGCACCACAGCCCACTAGAACAACCAAATCACTGCACCACAGCCCACTAGAACAGCCAAACTACTGCACCACAGCCCACTAGAACAACCAAACTACTGCACCACAGCCCACTAGAACAACCAAACTACTGCACCACAGCCCATTAGAACAACCAAACCACTGCACCACAGCCCACTAGAACAACCAAACTACTGCACCACAGCCCATTAGAACAAGCAAACCACTGCACCACAGCCCACTAGAACAACCAAACTACTGCACCACAGCCCACTAGAACAACCAAACCACTGCACCACAGCCCACTAAAACAACCAAACCACAGCACCACAGCCCACTAGAACAACCAAACATTCTCCTTGATCATTGGGCACTAACATCGAGCTACGACTCACTCCCAATTAACATACAGCACAAACTTAATGATACACGCCCCAACAGATAACGAACCATCAATCTTACCTGTACAGCTATCGACGTGTCGGACCTTAATGATGTAACTAAATGGGAATTAAATCATGCACTAAAGATGGGCAAATCAACTGCTCCTGGAGAGAACGGTATTACTTACAGTTTACTGAGATTAGTCTCACAAGTACCAGGTAATCCACTTTTAGTGTTATATAGAATGAGTTAAAGTGAAGGAGTATTACTTGATGCTTGGACAAAAAGTGTAATTGTTCCTATCCCCAAACCACACTCGATAATTATAGACCCATATCTCTAACATCGTGTGTTTGTAAAGTGCTTGTACGCATTGTTCTTAACCGACTCATGTATCGTATACAGGAGCACTTGTCACCCCAACTGTTTGGATTTATGCCTGGGCTCAGTACACAACACTGTTTTGCTGAGTACTTCGCACATATTGAAGCTTTCCCCAAGCAGTCTTCATTGACCTAACTGCAGCTTTTGATACAGCAAACAGGGAAATCATACTAGCTTGCTGAGCTGGGAATACAAGGAAAATTTCTGAAATGTATAAAGGGCTATTTGTATAATTGAACAGCATATGTTTTGTTTAATGGTGTTAAAAGCACAGAGAGTAAACACTTTGATCTGGAAACTCATCAAGGAGGGGTCCTCAGCCCCTTGTTGTTCAACGTTCTGATGCATAAACTTATTAAAGATCTTCCAACTAATAATGAAGACACGGTCATTTGTTATGCTGATGATATATGTTTACAGGCTGCCTCCGAGCCTAGAATGCAAGTTCTGCTCGACGCTTTTGCTACTAGAGCTGAGGAATGTGGCCTCCTTATCTCTGTACAGAAAACTCGTGCCCACATTCCATGTGGTATTTCACCACCCAATTATCATATAGATGGGCGAGCACTTGAGAACTGCGAGTCTTACAGATACCTTGGTGTCCCCATTAACGACCCTGGGTACCTTTCTTCTCTCAAGAGGAGACACTGGGAGAGATTAAAGCCCTTGCGGGTCCTTGTTGGTGTCAATCATGGAATTAACGTGAGACTTGCTAGAATGTTCTATGTATCATTTATATACTCCGTGATTGACTACAATGCTCTACATCTCACACTGTATACAGACAAAGAGCTAAAATCTCTTAAAACCTTGAAAAATGAAGCTGTACGTCTATTCCTAGTGGTTTCAAAGTCCATGAGAATTGTTAATATGAGAGCAGAGTTAAAATTGCCTACCATAAGTGAGATAATTTTGTCTATTAGCACAGTTTTCGGCGTGAAGGCATTGAGTAGATCTCGGCAACACATGAAGTTTCAAGCTAAACTTTCTAATATGCTACACTCACCTAAAGTCTATAGAAGAAGAACGAAATCTGATTATGCATTTTGGTTCTACATGGTAGCCAACTCCGTCAAAATATTAAATATGTATCCAACTCAATTAATGATAAATCAACCAATTAATCCATGGAATTACTGGGATCTATCAGTTTATTTTGTAAATACACCCTAGAAAATAGTGTTCACTCTACATTAATAAAACAGTTAACATTGAAAAGCATCACTGAGAGTACCCAGGCTATGGGTAACGATGTGTATCAATGCTATACCGACAGTTCTGTGGAAGAAGGTGGAAGACGTACCGGATGTGCATGCAATATATTTAAACAATCGTTTCTTGTACATACAGCAATGAAGCGCGTCAATGATTGGCGTACATAGGATAGTACAACTCAAACCGAACATGCAGGTATATACCTTGTCAGTGAATTCTTAAAAGACAAAGGCAGTGGACTTACATACTGTGACTCGTAGTGTGCACTCCTGGCATTGAACGCACATAGTAGTAACACCCAGAACAAAGTCAGTGATATTCCAATTAATGTTTTAGCTTGTTACGAACCCAACTCCATCGTCGGAGCATGGAGCAGCGACGTCAACGCCATCTGTGAGCCTGCTCCCTAAACCCCCACAAAATGGACGACGCCATCTGATAGTGGCAGTATGATACCTGCAAGAGACGCTAGATTCCTGCCCTGGTCAGCCCGAAGAGTCGCTGTTGCTGACCTCTGGTGAGGTGGCGCCTAGAAAATCAACGCCATCTATTGTGGGAGGAGATGTATGTTTATGTCAGAGTCCGTAAGTGGTATTTCCTAGTGCCCCCAGTACTGACCAGTTTACTGTGAAGTGGCAGTGATAGAATTCGGCGTATCCCGGGACTGGCTAGAGGAAGAGACGACCGACAGTCAGCTGCTACAGAGGAGTGTAACTAGCTAGTTGCAAGAAGCTCCTGCCACAGGGGTTCGCTACCCTTGTATTTGTTCGTGTAGAGGCCCAGCAGCGCCAGGCTGATGTTCTCTGTCAGCACCAGGCTGGAGAGTGATTGTGGGCGTTCACAAGGAGCACCTGGTGAGACTGTAGATAGGCTGGCCCATGGCTAGGGTAGACTCGTTGGTGTTTCCCAGTACTGGTTGAGGACGGTACTGTGTGTTGAGGAAACACGGAAGTTGACAAGGCTGCATTGCATGAGCATCGAGGAGCGCTTAGTGTCCTATGAGAGCGACACATGTGTATATATCAGTGTAGTAGTACTTCGTTTATGATAATATTTAAGGTGATGGGAAAGTGATAATATGTGAATATATTGATAATTGATGAAGTGTCGTATTCCTTTCAACTCCCCCCTTGTGTTTTACTTGCATTACCAAGCTCACTCCTTGAAAGCCACTACCAACTTGGGGTCGGATCGGTACTTTGGTTCCTCCAGCAAAGAACCCGGTTGCGACCCATAGTGGCCGTAACATAGCTGCTAAAGAAAAGAGATCTGAAATTACGTTCCATTGGATACCATCATATGTTGGTATCTCAAGGCATGACAATGATGATGTGCTTGCAAAAACAGCATGTAGAAAACTAGTGGTAGAAATTGATATTGATCTTTTATTAGAAGTGACAAAGGGAATACTTGAACAATTATCTAATGAAACTCTTACTGACCTAAGAAATTCGCAAAGACCTGAAAGTTGTAGCATTAAACATTATGATAAATATCGTGAGGAGACATTTATTTATGGAATTAATAGAGCAAGAACTCTGCAAGGTGATGTTATAGTGGCCAGAATACGCCTGGGATATAGACGTATCTGGCAGCTTTGTCAAAACCCAAATGTGGAATACACAATGTATCAACTTTGTGAAAGAGAAAACATGCACTCTCTTGAACATTATATTCTAGACCGTCCCATATTGACTGACTTTCGCCCTCCCTGGGCTGAGGTATGCTGAACTCTGTAACTACTATATGAATACTGGAATACTTGACGATATATTGGACTTGTACTCAAGATTGACTATGTAATTCATCTGTTTTACAATGTATTGTACCTCTACAATATGTAATACTTCTGTTATACAATGTATGTACCTATAACCTGAGCTAGTAAAAACAGCAAAATTACCTTCAGTGGTTAAGTGTTTAATGTCACACTAGTTTCTATAGAAGCTATCTTACTCTGTCAAAGTAGGAGAGACATCGTCAGTGTCTCGTCAGTGACGAGTCGAATCTTGTCAGTGTCCTAAGATATCGACCAAGTCCTTCCCGTGGTCGACGAGTGAGTCCTGCAGGGTCATTGGGTCTCGCTCGAAACAGATTCAAAATCTTCTTGTTTCTCAGACGTCGTGTTACTTTGATGGTCATCGATGCTCGGATGTCTTCCCTAGTAAGGATCAGATGCTTCATACGTCAAAGCCTGGACGGGTCGTCACAAGCTGCGTGTGGGCCTCTTCACTCAGGTTGTGTGACATCGCTCTAGGCCAGAGTGCATGTTACATTTCCCTTGATGTAAGACTCAAGGACTCGCTAACACCTCATATGCGACTCACTTGAGTCCTTGATGTTAGGTGGCTGTGATGGAGAGTCCTTGATGTTGGGAGGCTGTGATGGAGAGTCCTTGATGTTAGGAGGCTGTGATGGAGAATCCTTGACGTTAGATGGCTGTGATGGAGAGTCCTTGATGTTAGGAGGCTGTGATGGAGAATCCTTGACGTTAGATGGCTGTGATGGAGAGTCCTTGATGTTAGGAGGCTGTGATGGAGAATCCTTGACGTTAGATGGCTGTGATGGAGAGTCCTTGACGTTAGATGGCTGTGATGGAGAGTTCTTGATGTTATGTGCTGTGATGGAGAGTCCTTGACGTTAGATGGCTGTGATGGAGAGTTCTTGATGTTATGTGCTGTGGTGGAGAGTCCTTGGCATTAGGTGGCTGTGATGTAGAGTCCTTGATGTTAGGTGGCTATGATGGAGAGTCCTTGACATTAGGAGGCTGGGATGGGGAGTGCTTTGTTATTAAGAATATGATGGAAAGTCCTCTGCTGTAAACTACGAAGAAGAAACTTTCCTGTGTAGACAACACTGAACAGACCTTTACTACCGATGTGGGTAAAGTGAAACAATCTTATTGTTTATTTTAGTTTATTATAGTTTATTTCTGTTGTTAAAGGTTAAGTAGTTGTAAACTTGTAATAACAAAACGGCACTCTGGGCAACACAATCACCAGAGGAAGCAACAAGGGAGGTAGACCAGATAGTGTTTATTAGCCTATTCAGTACAAATTAATGTCACAATTCCCACAAATTTGTATTCGAATGCATAAAAACATACATCACACACACACACACACACACACAAACACACAGACACACAGAGACATACACACACACACACACAGAGACACACAGAGACACACACAGACACACACACACACAGATTACATTAGGTGATTACCTTAGATGAAAGACTATCAGATATAGAGGTGACAGCAGAGGAGGTAATGGAACAGTTGACAACACTGGATGCAACTAAAGCGGTTGAACCAGACAAAGTATCACCGTGAATACTAAAAGAGGCAGCGCAGGCCCTCAGCGTACCTCTGGCAAGGCTCTTTAATGAATCCCTTATGTCGGGAGAATTGCCCAATTGCTGGAGGAGGGCAAATGTCGTATTGATTTTCAAGAAAGGGAAAGTGAATAGACCTGCATTACTGACAAGCATCCCCTGTAAAATGCTTGATTAGGCTAATTAGGCTAAGACTGGTTGCACACCTAGAGAACATTAGGTTTGTAAACAAACATCAACATGGGTTTTGGAAAGGGAAATCTTGCGTAACAAACCTTTTGGAATTCTATGATAAAATAACGAGGATAAGGCAGGACAGAGAACGTTGGGCTGACTGCATATTTCTGGACTGCCAAAAAGCCTTTGATACAGTACCGCACATAAGAATGCTATTCAAACTTGAGAGGCAGGCTTGAGTGAGCGGAAAGGCCCTAGCATGGGTAAGAAACTACCTAACAGAAAGGAGCCAGAGAGTTATGGTAAGGGGCGAGAAGTCGGACTGGCGAACAGTAACGAGGGGAGTACCTCAAGGATCGGTGCTGGTTCCAATTCTATTTCTAATATACGTTAACGACATGTTTACAGGAGTAGAATCCTACATGTCGATGTTCGCGGATGACGCAAAGTTGATGAGAACAGTTGTGACAGATGACTAGGGACTAGGAGATAGAAGACCAAAGGGACAGTACACAATGAAGGGTAACTGCCTACCTGTGACGACTCGAGAAAGAGACCTGGGCGTGGACGTAATATTTAATCTAACTCCTGAGACGCATATAAATAGGATATCGACAGCAGCGTACTCTACACTGGCAAAAGTTAGAACATCATTCAGAAACCTAAGTAAGGAGGCATTTAGGGCGCTTTACACTGCCTACGTAAGGCCAGTCTTAGAGTATGCCGCCTCATCATGGAGTCCCCATCTGAAGAAGCATATAATGAAACTGGAAAAGGTTCAGAAGTTTGCAACGAGACTTGTCCCGAGGGATGGGGGGTATGAAGAGCACCTGATGGAACTGTGCCTTACGACACTAGAAACAAGAAGGGATAGGGGAAATATGACAGGAACGTATAAAATACTCAGGGGGGTTGACAGAGCGGAAATGGACGAAATGTTCACACGGAATAGTAACAGAACGAGGGGACATGGGTGGAAACTCAGATGAGTCACAGAGATGTTAGGAAGTTTTCCTTTAGCGTGAAAGTAGTGGAAAAATGAAATGCACTTAAGGAGCAGGTTGTGGAAGCAAATTCTATTCATAATTTTCAAATTAGGTGTGATAGAGAAATAGGACCGGAGTCAATGCTGTAAAGAACCGATGGCTCGAAAGGCGGGATCCAAGACTCAATGCTCGATCCTGCAGGCACAAATAGGTGAGTCCAAATAGGTGAGTACACACACAACGTATGTGAGACCAGTAATGAAGTATTCAGCGCAGGCATGGAGCCACGACGTAATACAAAAAATTATCAAGTTAAGAATTTTGTAACAAGACAAGATTAAGAGATGAGATAATTAAGCTACGAAGACCCAACTGAGAGAAATGAGCCTCATTACCACCAAATAAATATGAGGGCTAGATGGGGACATGATCAAGACGTATACGATACTGTCGGTGTTTGAAATGTTAACGTTAGCAAAGACATTAATGTTTAAGAAGAGAAGCAACATAACGAGAGGATATTAATCAAGCGGGACACGCAGGTAAGCAACAGAGAAGCTTAGACAGTGATCAGATAGAATGAATTAGAGCAGGAGGTAGTGATGACCGACTCCAATCATCGTCTGAAATGAAAATTTGACAGAAAAAAAAGGAGTTGGGAGTTGGAAGGGCGAGGGCCAGGAGTTGAAGCTCGTAATCTTTGCTAGGTAATTACTCTCATGTAACTGGACATGAGAGTACGCATATCAGCGCCAGACACATCAGAGCCACCCGCCCGTCAACCAGATATTACTCGAAGGTGACGCCCTTAGCGCGCTGCTCCTCGGCGAAGGCAATTTGCTCGAGGGCGTGGGCAGGGAGGGGGTGGGGCGTGGGGAGGATGTCGGACTCGACGCGGTAGCCGAAGTCGTCGGCGATGTATCGGACCTCAGCCACTGTGCCGTCTGGAAAGGGGAAACTGCGGAAAAAATATAATATTTAAGCATTTGCTACCTTCAACGTCAGATATTTTAACAATTTTGTCAAATCAATTTCGAGAATTTGGTTTTTAAATACAGCAGATGGATCTGTGGATGTATCGTGAGATCGAGAGTTAACCCTCAAATAAACAAGAAGCCCTCACCTGTAGACGCCCTGAACGTTCGTCTGCCCCTGAGAGCCCGGGGTGCCGCTAGCTTGCGCGACGATGCCGTTCTCGGCCTCGAAGGCGTAGTTGAAGTTACCGTCGCTGGAGTGCTGACGGTCGTCGCGGAGGATGGCCACAGGTGGGGGGTCCTGGAGCTGGGGGGCGGCGGCGGCCATGGCGGCCAGGCAGGCAAGAACTACCTGCAGGAGTCGGACCATAAGAACATAATTATACATGTAATTGCAGAAGACCAATTGACCTATACGAGGCAGTGCCTATCTATACCCAGACATCAATATATGTCTACCATAAGCTTGAAGCAATTCAGCGATGAATTCAGTATATAATAATACAAAAAAAAACTCCTTCGTTGAAAATTTTTCAGCATCGCAACTGGTACTGCTGAAGTGCCTTGTTGCAAACATTGCTAGTACCAAAAGTCAGTGACGTGCAACACTTAACCAGGCAGTGTCACTAGAACAGAAGCCTCACGTAGGGCCAGGGAGGTCATAGATGCTTGCGTGGGAATGCAGATAGGGACATTAGGGCCTACAGTCACGCGTGCGGTGAGTGACTGGCCAAAGTCTCAGGTAAATACGATGTTGTGTTGAGCGGCGAGTGTGCGGCAAGAGGGATCCGAACAGATGACCCCGTCAGTCCATGTTTACACAACACGAACGTAGTCTCAGGATAGATACGTCCATGGAAACCTACACAACATACATGATGTCACAGCCAATATACGTACACGGTTAAGGCACGTCCCTTCAAACTTACGCAATACGCCAACAGTCACAGTCAACACACGTCCATGAGAAACTTACATAACACTCATCCTGATACAGTGAGCACAGTTCTTGTAAGGCAATCCAACGTACACAGTCGCAATCAACAGAGAGTTATTCCATTGCTGAAGGCAAGTGATAGTCGGGTATTATGTTATATTATTAGTTGCATACATTTAGTAATACGTCTCGGTGTCTCGGTAACATTCAAATCAACGAGAAATGTATTGAGAATTGCTATTGCACAACTAGACGAGTTCAACTAGGTATGTACATACCGTGACCTTGAGGTTACCTTGAGGTGCTTCCGGGGCTTAGCGTCCCCGCGGCCCGGTCGTCGACCAGGTCCCCAGGTTGCTGGACTGATCAACCAGGCTGGACGCAGCTGCTGTATGAGTCACAGCCTGGTTGATCAGGTATCCTTTGGAGGTGCTTGTCAAGTTCTCTCTTGAACACTGTGAGGGGTCGGCCAGTTATGCCCCTTATGTGTGGCGGAAGCGTGTTGAACAGTCTCGGGCCTCTGATGTTGATAGAGTTCTCTCTCAGAGTACCCGTTGCACCTCTGCTTTTCAAGCAGAGTAATGTTTCAAGCAGAACATGCTCTGAGTAATTCTCTAATTAACTAATTTACTAATAATGCTTAAAGTTTTATATGCGTTCAGGAAGACAAAGTTACAATAATTATTATGAATTCATCACAGGGAATATGTCTTTTCGGAGGACAAAGATATTCATGTTTTAATGAGAGATTCTTGCGATTTGTAGAATAGTTCAAAGGCACCCAAAGGGATCCAAAGGCACCAATTACCTCATTGAATTACGAAGTAAATATTAGTTTACAAAAATTTTGGTGTTAAATGTAGGACGTGAAATTAAGTAATTAAATTAATTTCCAAGTACATTGTACTTGGAAATTAACAAATTTTATCACTAAATAAGGCAAAAATAAGTGGCAGGGGACGCCTATATAATGGATACAGCAATTTCATTAATATCACAAACTGTCCTCCAACAAAGAACGTCGCTTTTCGATCGTATGCGTTATATAAGGCCAAAAATTGTCATATTAAAAAGAAAGCGGCTCGTGAAAATGACGTACTGTTCCGTTTTCTGTTTTGGGTCCTCTGGTAGGTTAGGAGAGGACACGTTTAGGAAACCATAGAAGGACGGGCTGAATATCGATGTTGTTTACAAATAGATTCCTTAATAATGCTTAACATTTTATGCTATATGAAAGACTGTGACCACATTTCAAGGAACATAGCTTATCTGTGAGCAAAAATATTGCTTAGCATCGCCGGTGTCCGGACACGTCGAGACTACAAAATATCGCCGGACTCCGGCAAACGTATGCGATTGGTCATGCCTGGAGCATACCTGGAGAGGGTTTCGAGAGTTCTTCTACTCCCTGAGCTCGGGCCAGGCTCGGTCGGTTCTCCAGCCGAGCCAACAACGTCGGTGCCTAAACAACGAGATGAACAATCTTACCGTCTCCCTGACTGGCCCAACAACGAAACACTAGTGACATCTATCGAGACGTAGATGAACCAGAACAAATCTGCTGATAGCTGTTTACGGGCTACTCATGGCCATGCCACCTCTTGGGTGGCTTAATCTTCGTCAATCAGTCGATCGATAGTCGAGTAAGACCACCTTGTTGAGCCTTGCGTAGAGGTCTTCTTACAGAGTGTCTAAGATCCTTCGCGGCAAACATCAATGAGGCGAAATGTAGTCGAAGACTCACAATAACGTGGCTGAAGATATGATGACCAAACCACACATCAGAAAAAACAGAAACGACGACGTTTCGGTCCATTCTGGACCATTATCAGGACGGACCGAAACGTCATCGTTTCTCCATTTTCTGGTGTTTTGGTCATCACGAGGCAGAGTCTAGCTCCTGGACCCCCTGACACAGTACCACCTGCAGCAGGTACATGGACTTACGAGCATCATGGTGGGTAAGAACGGTGGGTCTGCTGGCCTAAGGGAGTGAGGACCACCTCTTATATGGCGGGCCGTCAGGAGCAGTAAATAGCAGGGGGCGTGGCCTAGCACCCAGCGAGGGGCGTGGCCTAGCAATCAGGCCTAAGTAGAAACAGTAATGAAAGCTGTGGAGAGCAAATAGGAGGCTGCCAGATAAGAGGAATTTCGCAAACTAGAAAGCAAGATTAGACATAGATTATGCAAGCAAGAGCAGGCAAGCGGAGGTATGCAAGCAACAGCAGGCAAGCAGAGGTATACACGTAAAAGCAGGCAAGCAGACGTATGTAAGCAACAGCAGTGCGGCAGAGGTATGCAAGCAAATCAGGTAAACAGAGGTATGCAAGCAACAGCAGGCAAACAGCAGAATTAAGCAAGCAGAAGTATTCAAGCAACAGCAGGTACACGCTTCATGCAAACAGGCACGCTTCAAGCAGACAGTCACGCTTCAAGCAGACAGCTATGCTTCAAGCAGACAGTCACGCTTCAAGCAGACAGTCACACTTCAAGCAGACAGGTAAGGATTCAAGCTGGAGCAGAGGTAAGCACAAAGGAACTTGCAAACAGGGTAAAGGAACAACGAAGTGCAGTCAAGCCGGAACAAGCAGAGAGGAGCGCATGGCAAGCAAACAAAGTTTGACAAACATGCAGAATAAAGCAGACATAATCATGCGCACAGGAGCAAGCAGACATGAGCAGGCGCACAGGAGCAAGCAAACAGAAACATGTCAGCACAAGCAGGAAAACAAGCACGAACAGGCAGGTAATTAGAAGTCAGACCTATAAGGACGCAGACACAAGCAGGCAAATTGAGCCAGACTCGCAAGTAAGACAAGCAGACATAAGCAGCTATATAAGCAGGCAAGAACTTGTCCTAAGAGACTGAAAGGCAGGAGCAGATAGGTAAATACACACCAGCAGAATTGATAAGGGGGGGGGGAGACAGAGTCCCTGATCAAGAAGACTAAGGTATGGGTAATGAAAGTGAGCATGATGAAGAAGGCTCAGGTATGCTCCAGCATTAAGGTCAGCAGGAGGGATTAAGCCATCAGGCACACACAATACTATGTTAGCAAGTGAGAAGCAATAAGATGAGAGCAAGCAGACAGAATGGAGCAGAGACGGTGAAGGCAGACAAGCAGGCACATAGAAAGCCGCTATAAAAGGTACGAAGGAGCAGACACGAAAGAACAAGCAGAATGCAACCAGCAGACAAGCAAGAGAAGGGGGTCACCACACCGACCCGGCCAAACATTCCCACCCATTACCCACAACAAAATGATCAAATAAAAAACAGATAATTTAGTCCCAGTATGACAGGAGAGAGAAATCTCACGAAAATAATACTCACCTATTTGTCATAAATATCCTGTCTTACTTATTTTCTATCAAGCGTTACTTTAAATAAGTTTCAATGTTACTTTTGTAACATAAGTAAATGTTACTTTTAAATAAATTTCTCCAATTATTTTGTTATGAAGATGGAGATACGTAGGCACAGAGATAGCTCTAATACAGCTGTTTCCTTGTTGGTCAAACTCAGCTGTATAAAGACGATAGTGTGGATATTGCTGTATGATTAAAATAAATACAAGGTACATGATACAGTTACAGGTACAGGTAAGAAGACAAGGTACATGATACAGTTACAGGTACAGGTAAGAAGACAAGGTACATGATACAGTTACAGGTACAGGTAAGAAGACAAGGTACATCATACAGTTACAGGTACAGGTAAGAAGACAAGGTACATGATACAGTTACAGGTACAGGTAAGAATACAAGGTACATCATACAGTTACAGGTACAGGTAAGAAGATAAGGTACATGATACAGTTACAGGTACAGGTAAGAAGATAAGGTACATGATACAGTTACAGGTACAGGTAAGAAGATAAGGTACATGATACAGTTACAGGAAAGTTAACAAAACCAGGCGCATCAGTCAGTCACAGCTAATGTTAACAAGCCAAGTTACACGGCACAGTTAAATAAAGAGGTTAGTGTGGGTATTGTTGTATGACTGTGTGGGTACAAGGCTTGTGGGGCCCAAACAAGCCCGAGAGACCAGCTGGAAGTACTTATGTCAACAAGGCTATGAACCAGGCCTTGGAACAAGGCTATAAACCAGGGCTTGAAACAAGGCTATGAACCAGGGCTTGGAACAAGGCTATGAACCAGGGCTTGGAACAAGGCTATGAACCAGGGCTTGGAACAAGGCTATGAACCAGGGCTTGGAACAAGGCTATGAACCAGGGCTTGGAACAAGGCTATGAACCAGGGCTTGGAACAAGGCTATGAACCAGGGCTTGGAACAAGGCTATGAACTAGGGCTTGGAACAAGGCTATGAACCAGGGCTTGGAACAAGGCTATGAACCAAGGCTTGGAACAAGGCTATGAACCAGGGCTTGGAACAAGGCTATGAACCAGGGCTTGGAACAAGGCTATG